TATATTTGCTATATTTCCTCATTGGTTTTGTATGTTTAAACTCTTCTCTCCGGTGGGGGCGGGGCTCACCTGCCCCGTGCGCACACCTGCACCCCGGAAGTGTTGTGACGTCGGCAGCGTTGAAGGCAAGGCTCAGGAATTCAGCGCAAAAAAATCCTGCTCGACCTGATCGACGACCAGCTCACATTTATCAGGCCCGCATCCCCACACAGGCTTCAGTCCGCCGGGTCACTCTCACTCCGAGCACAGCAGGTGGTTGTTGGGAGTCTCTCTCTCTGTGGATTTGCTCTCAGTGTTAAGTTAAGTAAAGTTTGAATTGGAAGATGTCCGCGCGGAGTCTTTTACCAGACGAGGCGGTGTTCGCTGACTTCAAGCAGCACTGCCTCTCCACGGACAGCTGCTGGCTGAACAAGTACAGCAACTCCAACAACGACATGCAGGTGTGGGTGGAACAGCCTTCGTCAAAGAAAGGGAAAGACGTCCCCAAAATCCACAAGATCAAGGTGAGTCCCGGCTCCAGCTCCAGCTCGACTCTCTGGGCCGCGTGTCGTCAACTTCACCCGTGTTTCCCTGCGTGTGTTTCAGTGCAAGATGACCATCAAGGACGTGTCCGCCGACACCATGTACGACGTCCTCCACGACGGCCAGTACCGCAAGAAGTGGGACCCCACCATGCTGGAGAGCTGCGACATCGCCCGGCTCTCTGCTAACGCTGATGTGGGCTACTTCGCATGTGAGGACTCCTCTTATCTGTGTCACATTCCTCTGATGTGCTGAATTAACCCACAGACAGTGAAGGCCTCACCTGACACTACATGCATCCAAACTTTAAACAGGAAAAGTGATTTTTGAGTCATTTATTCAAAGGATTGGATCCATAACTGAATACACATAAAATATCAAGTTGTATCTGTTTAAATCACGTTGATTTAGATGATTAGTTTAGTTCTTTTGTTTGTGTAGGTTTTCCTTAATCTTGTTAAAGGCAGTGGATGTCTCACTTTATTAATCCCTATAAGAATAATTGTTATTTGTGAATACGGGCTATAGGAATACACATTTAGTTCCTTTGTTTAAAACTATTATTAATATGGAACTATAGCTGTATTTCTGCATTTTAAGGCTGAAGTAGTGCTATCCATTCATTTGACCTCATTCTTGAAACAATAACTAAAGTGACTACGCCTCCTCTTTTCTTTAAGCATCAAGTTCATTATACAAATCATGTTTAATTATAAATAATGGACTAAAATTGATTTAATTTGAGTGAAAACACAATTTTCATTTCACCAAACACTTCTCAGTGTATTAATAGTTTCAAACTATTTATTTTCTCATATCCGTCCATGGTGGTTTTTAACAACTTCGCCAGGGATGAAAGTGAGCAGCGCCCCCCCGACTGTCATATTTATTGCCACAACAAGGATGCACTTGCTGACTCTGAGGTTGTGATCGTGCTGAACCAGTGAAGGAGAGTTTCACACAGATTTGTATGTTGTTGTTTTTTTCTCTTTCTTTAGGGGTTTGTCCAAATCCCATAAAGAACCGAGATGTGGTGACGCTGCGTTCGTGGCAGGTGAAGGATGACGAGTACATTATCGTTAACTTCTCAGTCAAACACCCGGTAAACTAGCCCCTACACCCCGACACCTCCACACCCACACACCCAGCCACATGGCAACCACTGTCTCTACATGTTCCATTGTACAACGTTTTGTTTGCACTGATTTATTACATTTTATGCATTTTAAATAGCTTTTTTCTATCTTCAAACAAACAAGATTTTATTCCCCTCCATTATTTTGAAACCTCTTCTGATTCCATCACAGAAATACCCTCCGCGCAGCGACCTTGTCAGGGCCATTTCCATCCTCACTGGCTATTACATCAAGCCCACAGGACCCAACAGCTGTATCTTCATATACCTTTCACAAGCCGACCCCAAAGGTAAGACCACGTCCCACAACAACAATTGCTGGGTTATTTTCAGAGCAGTTTCTAAAGGTTGCCGTCTCATCTCTCTGCTCTAGGTTCTCTTCCAAAGTGGGTGGTTAACAAAGCATCTCAAGTCCTCGCTCCACGGGTATGTAACGTTACACAGCCGTGTAAAAAATTAGATTTACGATTTGGTTAAAATAACATGGATTGTGTATCCATGAGGTGAACGTGTGCAAGAGGCGCGTGAACGTAAGGGAGTGAGGGTTTCGTGTGTCTTTAAGGGACAATGGTAACCATAGAAACAGATATAAGGGCCTGTCCCAGTAAGGTTGCTGACAAAGGATTATCTCAGATCCTTCGCCGTGGCTCGCTCCCTCCTGGCAGAACTTGTTCTCCAGGTTTCATACACACTGCGCAAATTGAAACTATTTAGACGTAAGTGCGTTTGTGTGGAACTGCCACTGAGCCTGAGGCCTTTGACAAGACAGAAGCATTGAACTTTACCAACTGGAAACTGATTTCTATGAATAAAACAAATGGCAAGAACACACAACTTTGGTGTGAACTTGTTGGTTTCAAACTTAAACTTGTTGTCTAATTTAGTTTTTTAAAATTAGTAACAAAGGCATATTAAAACATGGCTTCACACTAAAAACAAGCATATTTAACAACTTAAATAACATACCAGAAACCTTTTAAAGTAAATGATAAATGCAAAATTATGGGATAGCTTGATCCTATTTACGAATTAGTTTTAATATCAGATGGAAAAATGTTTAAGGCTCCACAGGATGATAACCAGGGGAAAATAAATCAAATAATAAATGAATACTTAATATGTAATCATACTTATTTTTTTGCAAATTAACTAAAAAGATCAAATGTTAGTTGTGATAAGAGATTCTTGAGGCAAAAACTCGACAGTTTCGATCACCATCTTTTACACCATCTTAAAGCCTTTGTTCAAATGTCGACAGCATAAATATGACTCATTCAGTTTATTTATTGTGTTTCAGTGTTAGAGTTCATTATTGCGTCAGAGCTGTAAATAGATTCTCACAATTGCTGTGTATCTACTCAACCATTTAATCAGTTACAAGCATTTAGCAGCTTTATCTCCAGCGTTGTTGACTGAGATTGAAGGTGTGGAGTGACCCTCATTGTCAGACCGCAGCCCCGTCGATAATCATACCCTCTCCCACCTTCTCCCAGGTGATGAAGAGTGTACACAAGGCGGGAAAGAACTACCCCGAGTGGAAGCAGCAGAATTCCCCCGACCAGAAGCCCTGGCTGAACCCCGAGCAGAACACGCTGCCCATGATGGACCCTGCCGAGCTGTCGATACAGCGAGCCAACTCGCTGGAGAACGTGGACGAGAGCTCCAAGTTGGACGCGCAGGACAGCGAGGACAGCAGTTAAATCGAAGTGAAAGAAGGAAGGACGGGTGGCCAGGAAGGAGCGAGTGGAGGATGGACTGAATATCCTCATGAAAACAAAAAGACTTGAGACCTTCTACTGTGTGACTTCGCCCTGATCCTCCAGTTTCCACAACACAGTGCCGTTTGGGATGAGCATGAAGTACAAAGTGTTTACAGTCATCTTAACAGTAGGAAGTGAGGACAGATCAGGTTGCCATTCACCTCAGTCTATGTTGAACTAAGCTAAACATGTCTCCAGTATCTTTACAGCAGGTGTTACAGGTGTTGGGGTTTGAATGTTGGCCTGGTGGCAGCTTTACATTTACAATGGCGTCTCTGTTGGGGCCTTGTACAGTCGCATCTACGTAACATGTGCACGAACACATTTTTAAATTAGAGAAAATTGAGTAACCTTTAATGAAGGACTAAAATGGAAGTAAGATGAAGTACTGTCATCAGTGAAAGTGAAGTGAAATGCCTAAATTTCTAACGCCACAATTGCTCGTTAAAAAACTATTTACATCATCTTTTTATTAGAAGTCATCAAAATTGTTGTATCCTGAACTGAGCTCACGTATAATAGTAACTTTAGTTTTGTTAAATCACGTTATTATTGTTGGTTACAGTTGGAAACCGGCTTCATGCTAATAATAATAATAATGAAAAAGAGCTCGGAGCATCGACCGTGAATCTGAAGAACAATCTTTTTTTGGGGGGGGGGGCGCCTAATCCAAAACAAATTAACCCTCGCTGTCATTACGCTTTCCACTGATATTGTTTTTTTAAATGTGAATTTTATTGTTAAACACATACTTAATTTTATTTAGTCATGATAAGTAATGAAGAGTAATTATGCTCCATCCTCTTTATGTAAGACAGGAGGGCTGTGTGAAGGTTCATTGTGATGTGCAATTATAGTGTATTTATTGTAATTCCTATATAAGTTATACAGACTGTAGACTTGCATTAACACTCAAGAATAGGATCAGCAGTTGATCTGTGAGAATAAAAATGTAGTCGGGTTGTATTAACACGTAAAATGTAAATAACTTTGCATTTTTGACAGTTAAATATCACTTTACCTGAAGGCCTGTGATTTTTATGTATTTATTTGAAGTTACTCTAACCTCAGATACGGCCATGTTGGAGAAATGATGCAGGGGTGTCCAGAGATCGTTTAGTTTTTGCTTAAGTTAAAAAAACGTTTCATGGGATTGATTTTTTTCCTCACCTCACATGGTTGACATGCTTTGGTAATCACTGTCATGGGCTGCATTCCTGTCAAAGCGACAGTCAGTTTCAAGAGAAACTAGCTCCTGACGTGGAACAAGCCAAGCCACTTGTCTCAGAACAAACCAGTTGATTTCCAGCCCCTTTTCAAGCTCTTCAAGAACACAAAGACAAAGTTTACTAGAGTTCAAGACATTGTCTTTTACTTGTCAATGTTAACTTCTTTCATAAAAAAGGATTTTAAAAAACTTGTTTGTTTCATGATGTCAAGTAAAAGATTTTTGATGGATACTTTATTGATTCCGAGGGAAATTTAAAGCAATATTCTTCAGCTTCAAAATTAGTGTGATGTAACACTGACTTGGAAAATAGAGAATGATGATGCTGTAACTTTGGTGAGTGGTTACGACCTCCTGTGGAAAGTGGAACTGACCAATGGTTGCAGTTTAATTTCTAGAAAGTGGTAATGCTGAACTAGTTTAGGTCAAAAAACTTACAAATCATAAAAACCAGAGTTTGTCTCTGATACTGAGTTTATCTCTTAGTGAGGAAACTTCAACTTACCAAGAATTCTAAACAGAGTTTGGTTTAGTTGTCACAGCAGCAGCTCTTCTGGTTCAGGAAGCCAGCGATCGTGGAAAATATCCACCGTTCAGTTGTGTCTCAGTTCACTGAGTGGATCTTCATCTACATCAGTCAACACATTTATAGACTTTGTATTTTCTCTTCAACAAAACCACTTGACAACTAGTGTGTGGAGCCAAACAGAATTAAATAACTACATGTGGCTGCAGAGGGCGCTGTTACTCAGTAAAAGTTACACAGTGATGCTTTAAAAGTCCCTTTATTAAAATCAGTGTACAAAAGAATAAGACAGTGTTTGCAAATGTTTAAAAGCGACTGTATTCCAGCATTCAGCAGCTACATCCACAGGGTTTCAACTGTTCTCTGTAACTGTGCAGGTTTACACTGTTGATTTTATTGATTTAGTACATATTAAATCAAGAGGTGACAACTATCACTGCCTGGAAGAATCTTCAGTCCAAATGGAAACATACAAGGCTCCAGAGCTCCATCACACACAGAAACAATATTATAGGCTAAGATACAGAGCACAATGACAGCACTTTAACAGCATGTGAGAAGTTAAACCTGTTTGCAAACTCAAGTTAACAATTAGTATATTTAATAAAAACCACGTCATTCAGCCCAGGAGCAGTGTGTATAAAACGTAAAATGTATGAAACTGAAGATATGAATACTTGTAAGTATTAAAGTAATGCTGGGTCCACGATAGCAGTGATTG